GGGGGGGGGGGGGGGGGGGGGGGGGGGGGGGGGGGCACACAGATAATACTCCACACGAGGAGCAGGAGCAGACTGGCCCCCTCCTTGGTCTTAAAAGGAACTTCAAGAACATCTTGGGTGTCCCATGCAATTCCCGAACAACGCAAATTTTAATAAACACCTGCATCTCATTCATTTAAAATTCTTTCAATTCAAACATCTCAACTTAAGACATAACATAAAAGAAATGTATGTAATATTTCATTTATGAATTATTCTACAAGCATAAAATCTGATCAGTAGATGTGACCATGTGTTAATATATCCATGCAGTTCTGTAGTGTGAGATGTAGCCTATGTATTAAACACTAAAGAGTCAGACACAATACCCAGCAGTCACCAGAAAATAAACTACAGTACATAGTATTCCTACACATAATTCACTTATTTGTCCTCCGTGGCTGATTCACGATCCCAATGGGTAACAGACTGATGCGAGGCCGCAGACAAAAAGAAAAGCTAGTCAGAAAGTGGATGCTAACAGCTAACAGTCTAAGAGTTAAAGCGAGGACGCTAACAGCTAACAGCCTAAGAGCTAAGTCGAGGATGCTAACAGCCTAAGAGCTAAGGCGAGGATGCTAACAGCTAAAAGTTTAAGAGCTAAGGCGAGGATGCTAACAGCTAACAGTCTAAGAGCTAAGGTGAGAATGCTAACAGCTAACAGTGTGCATGTCTGTTTAATATGCTTCATTGCCTCAATCTGGGGCTTTTCTCAGAAGGTTCTCCAAACCCCAGAGCTTCCAGCTCCACGTTTTCATAATCGCTCAAAATCTCTCTGCCACTGAGCAAATCCAAATTCTGTCACATGCAGTTAACCTTAAATCTTTGAGTCAGTGCAGCCAAAACACAAAATGCTGACATTTCTAAACGTGGGCAGTCAAGGCAAATAAAGCAGGACAAATACTTTGTTGCCTGAAATAGCACTTTTAAAACAACTGAAACCTGCACGTTTTGTCTTTATCAGACTGCTTGATTGTATGGAGTTTGCATGTTCTCCCCTGGCTGTGTGGGTTTCCTCCTGCAGCTACAGTTGCCACCTATCCCTTATAATACGGTATCGCCCCATATAATATGAGACACAGTAGTTCTTCCAATACGGGACAATCCCGTATTAAAAGGGACGGGTGGCATCTCTAACTGCAGCCCAAAGGCCTGCATTTGGGGTAGCCAGTGTGTCTATGTTAACTGTATTATGGGAGTGTATGAGTGTGTGCCTGCATGTGCCTGTGATGGACTGGCATCCTGACTGGGGTGTACTCCTGTCTTGTGCCATATGGGATGAGCTCCAGGCCCCCCAGTACTCTGGACAGGATAGGTGGGAGATCGCTGACACCCGTAAAAATTATTTACACTGGAACTAAGGTTGCACTCGCTTAAATAAAAATTGGATTTTTTTTTCATGGCAGTTCAGCCAGTTTGTCTAGCAGAGAGAAACAACAAAAAAAACACACAGTAACTTAGTTATTGTACAACCTGCCAAGGAACATGAGCTTTAACTCAAACCAAGTGCGGTAAGATAAGCCAGTGTATTAAAAACTGTAAACATTGTACGTTAAAGAACGTTAGAGAGAGATACACACATTCCACGCTGATGTCAGATACTGTTCGTTTAGCATGTGATCGTCTTTTGTTTTACTTGCCAGATGAGTATTTCATCTAAAGGAAGGCAGGTGAAGTCCATCTTCTCCTTCCCGTGTTTTTTAATCTACACACAGGAGTTTTTCTGGAAAAAAAGCCTAAACACACTGATTCCCATTCCATACTTGTCTCAGAGAAATTATGTATGTTTACACAATCCAAATAACCAGGTGCTTGGCCTGACAACCATCTTGACACAAGTTGTGTGTTACGGTTAAAACACCCAGGGCCCAGAAAAACCTCGCGAACATCAGTGCAATGGAAACAGGCACTGACGTTTCACGTTGATTTACAAAACTGCTGGGAACAGAGAAAAATACTCAGGTGCAAGCAGACATATATAACAAGCACACATGACCGGAAAGCAAGGTCTGGAAATTAACTGTGAAACTTAAAATATCCGTTACACAGTTCCAGATGAAGGCCATGTGGTGATGAAAGTGCAAGTGGTTTGCTAGTCGATGGTTCCTTCGATGATGGTCACCAGTGTCACCTGACGGGTTGACTAGCACTGTGTAAACTAATGATGGGCCCACTATATGGTGCAATCTGTTCAGAAAGGGCTCAAAGCATGCCCCAAACCAACCCAAGAGCACCATCTAGTGGGGTCAAAAAATACAGCAAATGGTTCATGAAGTTTCATTTGCCTATCACTAAAGCTCCAAGTGGAAGGACTTCTGTATCAAACGATAATCTTTATCTAAAGATTGTCTTACAGCCTAAGATTTATACACTTAGCAGTTCAAGGGTAGTATGAGAAAATCCAAGAAGTGAACCTGAAATAAGGCTACAAATGCAGCTCTTTAACCACTACATACACCACCCCCCTGCCCCCCAGGAGCTGTAGAGAAGACTCACTTGCACTCCTCATCCAGCAGGTGGAAGAGAGCTGTGGGCTTCCGGCTAATCAGGCTGATGCAGCCGCTGTTGTCGATGTAGTCGATGTTGTGCCAGCTGATGCCCTCAGTGCAGTACTCTTCCTAAACGCAGGTGGGATGGAGGACAGGTGGAGGGGGATGGACAGGAGGAGAGAAAGGCATGTTTTAGGGGTGTGATGTAGTGTCAGAGTCACACAAACCATGAGAACATGACATCATCAGATTCCCTCTCCACCTTCAAGGATCTCCTCAAGACCCATCTGCTCTAGGAGCACCACTACTACCCTGAATCCACTCCATGGTCCCTGAAAGCTTTTAATGCTGCACTTTCTGCTGATTTGAACCGTTCTTTTATTAGGTCCTTACTTTCTTTGAGAGATTTTGTGTAGCTGCTGCACCAATACTGCTTACACTTGTACCTGGGCATTGACTGGAAGCTCAGCCTATCTGCACTTATGCCTGGTCGACTTATGCCTCACTTGCACATTGCTTTGGATAAACGAGTCTGGTAAATGTAAAATGTAAAAAATGTAAAACACAATGTGGTATTAACTAGTGAGATGGAGATGGATTAAAGGTTCAGTGCTAATCTTGTGCTTGGGGACATTTTCCTTTTGATCGATAATCTCCACAGTCTGATGATCTCGTTCAGCAGAACTTCCTCCCCGACCGCTGCAGTAAGAATGGATGTGTCAGTGACATCACCATGACGGCAGCATTACATGCTAGCGATGACCCGCGCAGACAGCTGGGATGGCAAACAGAGGGTTAAGGGTGGGTAGGATAGTAAAAGTTATATTAGTCCTTGGACGAGACATCACAAAAGAGGAAAACAGCAAGTGTGGGGAGTTGTTTAGAAAGCTCTAGAAATACAAAACAGACACCAGCCCCACCAGCTTCCAAATGGTTCCATTACTGTCAACTCTGCATCCATTCTGGGATGGTGCCAACACAATAAATCAAAAGGGTGAAAATGGAAATCTAACGTTTCAATCCTCCCTCTCACAGCCATACGCGTCCTCTGTGGTCTAATATCAGGAAAAGCATCCAGAATGCTTAGCTGCTCCTGTCGCTGCATGTAGGGGGGGGGGGACAAAACAATAAAAGATCTAGGCAGGATTTTCCGAAGAATCACTGGAATCCGTTCCTCCTTGGCCTCCTTTAGCCAAAAGTACAAGCTAAGCTGAACAGACAGAGGGAAAAATCAAAACGAGTCTATCTGGCTCGCCACACAAATGATAAACACCACAGATGCTGGAAATGCGATTGGTGCATAGGGCTTAACATATCCTAATAAGGCATGGTGCCCCAGTTTTCCCCGGGAAAGTTGTTGAGGGAGGGGGTAGTCAGGAAAATAATCAGGTTTAAATCCTGTGAGTTTCAATAACAAAAAATAATCGAGTGCCACTGGCTGCTGCTTATGAAAGTTTACCCACAACCCCTGCACAAGCCCTGAAGCCCAGAGACACAAAGCAGGGAACAAGAAACACGGAGAAACAGGACTCCATACCATCAAATGACAGATTAGATGCTTCCAGGCTTATTCCCGTCGTAAATATCACGACTCCATCATCCCACGTGTTTTGCTTGACTGTGTCAGTTCCCTGATATTCACAGCGATCAGGTTAATTGTGGCCACTGAAGAAGCAGTTAGCATCACCCTTAATGGTGGAGAGCCTCCCTGAGCATGTAACAGGCAGCGAGAGCCCCCCCCCCCCATATTGGACACCCAGGCTTCTCCTGTGGACAGAAATGGCACTTGAGAATCTCGCCGGACCCAATGCATCCAAGCCTGCCGAGACCCTTAAGCAAAAGCCACGTGGGGGGGAGGGCAGAACTCCCATCTGTTCATCCCTGTTCCTCTGCACCTCTCTGGACAGAGAACAGTGCTCCTACAATAGGCCGGAACATCTTGTACTACATAAGTGCACTACAGGAAGGACACAAGAAAGCAGACCTGACCACAGCCCCACTCTGATTCACCCCTATCAGCAATAATGTCCCTCCTGGGACACCATCCATCCACCCATCAATCTATCTATGCATCTATAAATACTGGATATCAATGCAGAACAAGTAAAAATATTAATTTTCCACTTACACATTGATGTTAACAGGGTCAGACTAGAGGTTAAGGGCCTTGCTCAAGGGCCCAATCGGTTTGCTGATCCAGGGATTTGAACCAACGGCCTTCCGATCACAGGCAAGATCCTAACCCACTGAATCACACACCACCCCTTTGTAGCCTTACCCACGGGGCTGTGACACTATGACAGTGGCAGGAGCAGGACCCCCATGTTACAGGTCTCTGAAACCAACCCCCGCCCCCCACCCCACACACACACACAGTCGGGATGAAATATTTAC